CCTGCGTCTGACCTCAAAGTGCACAAGCGACCAACTTCAGCGTTGGCTGCGATTTTGAAGCTGAAATCGCGTTCGGTGTGAACGCAGCATAAGTCCATTTCTAAATGAGTTTTGGCAAATGGCAGCATTTCTGGATGTTCATGTTTAACTTCTCACTTGCATGATAGAGCTTTAATCAGAAGTTATAGATGTGTTTACAGATAGATTGTGGAAGTGTTGCTGAGTCCATGCAGTGATGTCTTTGACAGAATCAGACCTGTTTTTACTGCAGTGTCCCCTGAGGGCTCAACCAACACGAGCATCCAACAGTGACTTCCATCCATCCATCCATCCATCCATCCATCCATCCATCCATCCATCCATCCATCCATCCTATACCCACTTCTTCCTTTCAGGGTCACAGGGGTCACTGGTGCCCATAAGTGACTTTCATCCTTTTAACTCAAATCTTGATACAATGAGTTGTAAATGATGGGATATTCAAATGTTTTTCTTAATTTCTTTGTTGAGGACCATTATTTTTGAAATAATTGTATTTTTTTAGAGTTTATCACTGACAAGTGAACCTATGCCCAGTTTTACTTCTGACAGGATTTGTCTCTAAAAGGCTGTTTTTACACACAGCTCTCTCACTGACTTGTTAATTAAACTAATTAGTTGCAAAATGCTCATCCATCTGTTTCTTATTTGCATCACTTACTTTTATAACGTTTTGTTGCCACTGTCCCAACATTATCAGATGGACCACTATCACAACATTCGAAATTACTTCATAAAAAAAGTGGGACAATTTCTGAATTTACTGGGTTAAAATGCGGGTTTGGAGGATTTGCGAAAAAATCTAAAGTTATTTTACACAAAGTTCTAATTTAGTTTCCACAACAAAACTGCTGTTTTGTTTGTTATTTTTTTAATCCCTAGGGTAAAATAATCTGAACTCTTCCTCCGCAGCTCTGATGGAGCTGAGGTAGCTGTTTGKGGGGGGAAACATTGTTTTTCCCTGAAGAAAGTCGAGGACTTCTGTCAAAAATCAGAATAACATTGGAGTGGTGTTAATATTCACAGATTATTCCGCCAGGCTTTTGTGTTTAGAGAAGAACCCCCACCCCCACGACAGTAATACCATGAAGCTGCACCCCTCCACCACCCCCACCCGCTCTCCCCATCGCCCCCATGCCCTGCCACCGCCGCCGCCGCCTTTGTTCTCCTCACAACAAGCCCGGAGCAGTTGGTGCTCTGCTTCCCTCGGCGGTGACTGACAGGCGCTCTCAGCCAATGGCGGGGCTCGTCTGGGCAGCGCCAGGTGTTGTTTCTCTTCTAATCATTTTTCTTTTCACAGTCGTAGAGACTCAGTCTCTCTCTCTCTCTCTCTCTCTCTCTCTCTCTCTCTCTCTCTCTCTCTCTCTCTCTCTCTCTCTCTCTCTCTCTCTCTCTCCCTCCCTCCCTCTCTCTGTCTGCAGACCGCATCATGCGTCTCTCAGGGACCGATGGGACACACAGGAGACAGCTCGCTGTAAGCAGCACCATCTGAACCTGGAATATGTGTCGCTGCGCTGTTTGACGAACCCGTTCACCTGGCACTATTTGATATTTTTATTTTCCTTTTTTATTTATTTATTTTTTTCTTTCCCGGCGAGTACACCTGGATGAAGCTCTGTAGACTGAAACAAGGTGAGAAAAGGAGGGGGTTAAAGGCGGAATATCCACAGCTGTTATCTGTTGAACTATGGGAGTGGATGTGAATAAAGCCAGCAGTTAGAGCCGACATGGGGCGACGCAGAGACGGGCTGTTGTGAGGCTGAAGGTGCAGACGCACCTCAAGGGCACAGCGTTCCAAAACAAGCCGGTGAACAGATGAACGCCGGAGTATCAGACCTGCTCAGCCCGATCAGTTCTGCAGGGAAACTTTGATGTTGCGGCATGGAGGCAGAGAAGAGGCGCCTGGCCGCGCGGGGAGCTTGCGTGCCGTGCGTGCGCGTGGAGATGTGATTTGCATGTTAATGGTCAAAGTGTGCCGGCAGATGTCTCTCAGCTCCTGAGCGGAAAAGTCCTCCTCCAGGGGGACAGAGCCGAGGCCCTCAGCGAGAGATGCGCGTTAGCAGGGGGTCTATTGTGGTCCGCTTTGTCGCTGCAGCTGTTGCGCTTTTTTTTTTCCTTTGGGGGAGGAGGAGGAGGAGGTGCTGTTCTGTTTCTTTCTAAGAATTTAGCCCCTGTCACTCACTTTCATTCAGTGACCTCTGCTGAAGAAAGTCCTGATGGTTCTAAGGGTTTCAATCAGCTTAGCGTCTTACTTTTTTTTCTAATTTACCAAAAACAGAGTTTGATATGTATTTTTAAAGCTGCATGTCTGACATTGTTTACAACCTTCTTGCTTCTCACAGAACATATTTCTACAGGAACAAAAGCTGAATCAATTACAACARATTGAACATGACAGGCTGGGTCACCTGATTGATTTTTGTCCCTGTGGGCGTCCAACCTCAAATGCTCAAAACACACACACCATAACACACACTTTAACACAACTCTGTCACATAGTAACTGAAGGGTTTTATTTTGATCATGACAATCAAGCAGTTTTTTTTTCTTCAGTGTGACAAAGGCCTTCTAGCAGTGTGTGTGTAGAAGAGAACAGAAGAGCTTAGGGGGGTTCAAGGCTTCATCCCCTCCACCCACCCAACCACCAGAACTTCTGTTCCAAGGGTATAAATCAGGTTAAAGAGGGTGGGGGGTAGTCTGGATTACAGCCCAAACCTCCATTATTATTCGTTTAAAAAAGCAGAACTAAGCTGTGAACTCTTTGGCCTCTTCCACACAGAAGCAGCGTTTTATCGTTGTCCAGAAGTTTGTTTAAASCGTTTGTTAAAACTGAGTTTTCATTGTAAACCATGTTCATGTGGACGTCCAAAACACAACTTTTGAAAATGATGGTACCATCTTAAACTACAACTGCATGGGTGATGGACACAATGACCCGTTACAGGCTGGTGTTCTGATGTTAGGCTCTCAACCACAGCAAAACCTTTGGATAATGTATTACTTCAATGAACTGTTAAAACTGACCAAAAGTATACATTAAAAAAAAGAAGAATAAAGTTTTAAAAGACCATCATTTGTGTATAAAAATTTTAGCCTGATAAGCTTAGATCCAGGGGCGGAGACAGAAGCATGGCCAGGGTGGCAAGAACCACCCCTGGCACCTAATTGGCCACCAAAGGTGCCACCTMCAAATAATTGGAAATTGGGTGTAGGGCTGCCACAAACAATTATTTTAATAATCGATTAATCACCAATTATTTATTCGATTAGTCGATTAATCGGATCATACGTTAATTGAATATAAAACATAGAGCTTATCACGTCAGAATGCAGCTGCTATTGTATAACCGTCGTTAGATTTTAGCTATATGCTAACTAAAAATAATTGCTGTGGAAGGCAAGTTCTGCTCTGCAGATATTGCACAGGTTTCTCTTTCATTTTCTTAAAATGATCCCACACTTTGAGCTTCGTTGTCAGGTAGCCATGATACCAGAGCCTGTCTGTATAATGTCTTGTGACGTCCACGGCCTACCCCAGTTACCACTACTGTGCATGTGTGTCAATGACAGAAAGGCAGATGTGGCAGTGGAAGGTGTCAAAGYAGTTTGGAGAGAAAAACAAAGTAAAGAACAATCGATTATTAAATTAGTCATCAATTATTTTAATAATCGATTAGTCGTCGATTAATTGATTAATCGTGGCAGCCCTAATTGGGTGTGGATCTTGGATTTTGTGTTTGCATTTAGATTTTGTTAAAGCTTGTTCTGTGATACTACTGTACAAAATATCTGTTTAGCTATATAGGTTTTAAAATGTCTCAATTATAGCAGATTGTAAAATTAGCATTCGTGGTTAGCTTAATTTAGGATTGGTTTTGACAATTGGCATGTGATCTTTCTTAGCTACCCCACTTATAGCTTTAAAAAGTTATCTGTGGTGGCCATCATGAAATTCTAATTAGAATTTAAAATTTCATAAGTATTGTTTTTACAATTTTAGCTATTGTCGCACAAATGATCAGCTCAGTGTCTCTTAAAACAGCTGAACTGGAGTAAATTAGAATTATATGTGTCGACCATCTTGAATTTTTATACCCAGAGTGCCTTGCATGTGCCACTTTAAAAAACACCTGGGCCACCCCTGTTCCACCCTTTGCAAAAAAGTAAAAAGCAAGAGTAACAGCCTCTGTGAGCTGCAGCACATCTGCTGTGATGCTCCCAATTTTTCTTGTAAAATGTTTATGCAACGATAAATGAAAACAGTACAAAAGTTTWAAAAAATAGTGTTCGAAATAGCCGTTAGCTTTTCAGTCCTGACAGACACAGGTCATTAAAATAGTTGTTGACAACAGGTAAGATATTAACTGTTCACGTGTTTTCACAGAGCCCCACTTCAAACAGTCCAAATATCCCTTTAAATGTAAATTTTATTAAAAATGTACTTTTTACATATTTGTTAAAAAGATGACTACGTCCTGACAGTAGAACATGAGACAGATGATCTGAAAAAAGATTGGGTGCATTCATGGCAGTCTCCGCTGTGGGGAAGGAGCTGTGGAGGGAGGGAGCAGCAGAGAGCGGGGGGGGAACCTGTCAGGTGTGCTGGTTTTCTCAGAACTCCCCCCTGCTTTAATACCTGACTGTAACATAAAACTAACATTGGTGACAAACTCGTCCAYTTGCTGTAAAAGTGAGGTTTGATTTCCTGGTCAGAGTTTGCCCCGGAACATATTTCTGTGCTCGATCGTACTGAAAACATGACCTGTACATAAAAGCAACCCAGGAGAAAACTGAAGAAAAAAGCTACTTAAATCCCTGAAAACACTTAACTGGCTGGTAATGTTCACACCTTTGCTTTTATTTCACAAATAATTCAAATTATCTCYCACATTCACTAATGCAGCAGTTTTCACGAAACCCCTTGATATCCCTGATCAAAGATCTTCATTTTGTTCCTACTTATCTCCTGACTTACATTATGAATAAGGAGTGAGGTGTTTTCCCACCTTTAAGCCTGCTTTAGATGTATTCACTAAAGGTTTAATATTTTTATAGCATGTGAGGAAACCACAGATGACCTGCCTCTGTTTGTCTTTAAAATGTGGTTTACACAACCAGCCCATGTTTGTCTACACTCCATCACTGTTCGTTTCAGATCAGAACCGGTTTATCTTATCCTAACAGTCACATAAACCTAAATCAAGACCGAGTATTGGACTTTTAAACATTTTTTGTGTTATTTTGCTAAGTTATTAATTTAAAGTTAATTTAAAACCACAAAACAGACACTGAAAGTAAAGTTTCTAAACCATTTTAGTAAAAGTGTCCCTTAAGTTAATAGTCCCTGTTAGTATATGGTTGCAGCTGTCAAACAACAGTTTGATTTTCTTTAGCTGAATGTCAGTATTTACCATAAGAAGAAAATACATAAAGGCTAACTAACATTTCTAACAAATGTTGGTGCTTACTGTAGTCAAACCCTGTTAGTTGACTAAATCATTAATAAAACACTAAAGGAGTTATAATAAAACTAAACAATCCTTAACTTTCAGAATCAATGCAATACAAGGTGGCAGCTAGTTGGTAATTTTAGGCAGTTTTACAGATGCTGAGCCAGTGTTTGATGTAGTAGTTGAGAGTCATCCTCATTGCACACTTTGAGTGAAATCTCATATTATTTCATGTCATAATTTACAGTTTGATTTAACGCTTTCAGCTTTCTGCACGAGTGGTGGGTGATATGCGTTCCTCCAAGTATTCCTAGGCCTTTAATTTATTTCAGTAATTATACAAGCTTTGCAACATTTTTGACATTATCTGTTTCTCGTTTGTTTTTGCACCGCAGCAATTCTTCGTCTGACAAATCCAAGCGTTTGCTTTCAGGGAGGATCAGGCTGTTTGTTGAAATCAGGCTCATGCTGACTGAAGGTGAAACTATTTTCAGAAGTGCAGACGAGGCTGATGTAAAATCGATAAATCATCAGTCAGGAACTTTACATCACGTCAGTGTTAAACTGTTAAGTGTCGACACATCTCAAAACGTATTCAATCTATGATTTGTCACATGTGAATTACTTAAATCATGCTCTGCTTTGAAGTGATGCTCTTGATATATTTGTGCTTCCATGCCATGCTGCGTACAAGCGCTCCACACCTGACGTCAATTAAAAAGTGGACTCACAATTTGCCTTAGGGGTAAGAGTTATTTAGTTCCACTAAACTGAACTGAGTAAAGGTAACGCATTTAAATGCAAAGTAAATGTGTTACATTCACTCAATTCAGTTGAGTGGAACAAGTTGATTTATTTTTTTAATTTAATCCGTTATATCTCTTTTTTGCAAGTAGATGAGTAGGCGTTTCCAAAGGAAGGCCTTTTATTTATGGACACACCTGAGTGGACGAGCACAAAACAGTATTACTCAAGCACACCACCTGATTGGATGATTGTTGCTTAGGCATTTCTTTATATCATTAGCTTACTTTTCTAGCATCTGACTTTCATATTCATTTATTTTCACAAACTTGCTGATGTTACCGGGGTAATCAGAAGACTTGGGAATAATAACACTCCTCAGATTATGTTAACCTGCTGTTATTGTAAGTTTATTTGAAGACACCGCCAGAGTCGGAC